TGTGTGGGTAGTTCCTGGATCATGAAGGCATTGATGCCATTGACTGGCCCTCTCGTTCCCCTGACCTAAAACCAACTGAGCACCTATGGGACGTGATGTATTGGTGCGTCCGACGCCATCAACTACTGCCACAGACTGTCCATGAGCTCACTGATGCCCTGATCCAGGTCTGGGAGGAGATCCCCCAGGACACTATCTGCCAGCTCATCAGGAGCATGCCCAGAGTCATATTATGAGTTGCTGTGATAAAATTCACTCAAACTGGATCAGCCTGTGATTTAAATTTTTACTTTGATTTTCGGTGTGACTTTGAATCCAGCCCTCAGTGGGTTGATGATTTTGGTTTGTTCTATACATTATACATTGTACATCAGTAAAGATTTTCAACTTGAATTATTAGTTCATCAAGATCTGATGTGTGGTTTAGGTGTTCCCTTAATTTCTTTGAGCGGTTCTGCATATGATGATTTCTTGTAACATGTAACCTGTTTATTCAGCTCCCTCAATACTTGACTTGTATGTGCCAATGAAAGCATGTTTGTACCTCCACATCTAAAAAGATCTGTCATTTCTCAAAGTACTGAATAACCTCAGCGGTTGAGGATGAACCCACTTTGGTTTCTGTCTGTGTGAACTCTGCTGCCTTTCATGGTTTGTTGGATTTATCCTCTCCATCTGATCATCAGTAATGGAAGACAGGACACATTTATCCTTCACATTACTGGTGTCAGACTTTCAATCTCATTTGCACGTGTGGATTATCATTACATCCTTTGTTATATATTCTTTTTGAATTAGTAACCACTGCGTATCTTGAGTTGAGGAGGAGTGCACACAAACCTTGCCACAGTGTCCTTGTTCCTATTAAATTAGAACAGCCAGCATATTTGTGTTTCTCAAAATCTGCAACCAGGATATAATATTCACACATGTAAACACATGACCAGAATACTCTGACAGCCGAATCATACCCAGGATACTGGTGTCCATGTCACTGATGTGGCATCTCATGGCTCTATTTATAGTGCTGTGGTCTTTGCAGAGGAAGGAAAGCAGCACACCTCATAGGCTGGGAGAGGAGATTTAGTATGAGCCAGTTGTTTTAGTTTAATTTCTATCCTTTTCTTTTAATTGAAATTAAAACATCGTGTTTTATTCCTGTCTGATCTAATAACTTTAATTACGAGCTTTAATAACATGAATTAAACACACATTGGGGTCATTTGAACTCTTACGTGGACACCCAGAATACATTAATTCAATTAAATCAGATCCTTTACCGCTAACTGCACTATAAAAACAAGTACACGTTGTGCAGTCACAATATAATTTAAGTAAAAGCACATATTATTGCAGAATGTACTCCAAAGAAGCCCCCAAATGATTATTTGTATATCAGTTGCTCAGCCCGTGTTGTGTTCAATTTGTGGAGAAAACTTTGATTTTGCAGCATGCCTCCACTGCAAACGAAGAATCCAAAAACTGACGAGAACTCTTGATGAATTAAAGTCATAGGGGACCACGATCAACATCTGTAAAACCATATTAAAACAGCTGTTTACAAACTCTCACACAACTTGTGCAGTATAATCCAAGTCTTATTTACCCAGCCAGACGCTCAACACTTCCCAAACACATGCAAAATTGCTAAAATTTGATTTAAAACAAGATCTTATAAATAGTCCCAGGCACGGAGGAGGAGTGCATCTGCACTGTTCATGTGGAAGTCTTTTGAATAGTCATGTTTTAATGAAAATGCATGTGTTCAGGAAGCACTGGAGATACAACTGGATAGATGAGACTTGGATTATACTACACGAGTTGTGTGAGGGCACATTTGGTGCCCTAGGCAAACTTAACTTTAAATTACAAATTAACTTGTTTAGAGGAATAAAAAATAATATATGACATTGTAAAATGATAATGAAATGCACAAATTAACTTTTTAATTGAACTAGGGATGCACTGATTTTTGAATTCTGGGCCGATACAGATATCAGTGTTTAAAATAACAATTTTCCAAATAGCCGATAATGCTTTTTTTTTTTTTTTTTTTTTATAATGGTGTTTGTTTTGTTTTTTTGTTGTTATTTATTCTTTTTTTGTGCCAGAAAACCAAAAAAAAAATCTGCACAATAATAAAATAAATGAACAGTTTTAAAGTCGTTCAGTCCTTCATTACACAACCTTTGAGTGAGCACAAATTCAATAATACACATTTATGAAACAACCTTTAACATAACCTTCTTTCACATGAAAAACATCTTTAAAAAAATAAGCAAAAAGCATTTTTACTTTATATGATACATCATAATTCTCCTCTAATTTCTATTTTATAGTGCTGTGAAAACATCAATAAATTTCTCCTTCAAACAGCCGGATTCTTCAAGTTTCTCACCAAAAGCACCATTTTACAAGATTCCATTGAACACATCATGAGAATGTTATAATTTACCTTCACCCAATGCTCCTTTTTACTGAATAGAGCTTGAATGCTTCACACAGTAAATCAATGCAACCTCCACGAGCTGTTGGTTGTGGCTACCACCTGATAAGAGATTACGATAACTAGCTGCTAACAGCTAACAGCTAACTTCACTAGCTGTCCTTCTGCTGTTGCACACAGATTTGTTCTGTTTGTTTTTTGGCATGTTCTTTCTCTCCACATCCACTCCTCTCAGTAGTGTAGTGATTGTTGAGTGGGCACCAGAAAGCATAGGTCGTTTTGAAATGATAATGGTACAGCATGTTTAGGGGTTTACATGACATCAGATAACTCGCCCATCTCCCCCAGAGAGTGGGCTAAGTGTGAGCTGGAGAGGGGGTCAGGGGGCGGCAGGAACCCAGAAAAAAACAAGGCCTCTTTATTATGTAGTAGGCTTTGTCGTGTAGTTATGTTTTTGTGGCCTTATGTAATAATCCAAAATAATAGCAGTAATAGTACTAATAAAAAGATAGTAAAGAATTAACATTTAGATTTTTTTTAGATTTTTCTTCCCCCATTGTGGCGCCCCCTATGGACTACGGCGCCCTTAGCGTTCGCTTATACTGCCTATGCCACAGGTCGGTACTGTGTGCAAGAGTTTGTAAACAGATGTTTTGATATTACAGTTCGGCTATTGATAAATGCAGCCCCCTACAACAATGAGTTTTTTTGGATTCTTTATTCACCGGAGGCTGCAAGAAAAACAAACTTTTCTTTTTTGAATTCAACATAACTTGGGGATAGTAACTAATATACAAATGGTCATTTAGGGGTGAAGTATTCCTTTAAAGTATCAAAAGTAAAAGTACTCAGAAAGCAAACAAAATGGCCGCTCTGTGTGTTATTACATATGATGTTATTGTGATACAGCTGCTGATGCATTAGGTAAGATTTTACTATTGTACTTGGTTGAAGTGGAGCTAATTTGAATTATTTTATATACTTTTAAGATCTTAATCTGTAAAGAAACAAATAACCAAAGCTGTTAACTTAATGTAGAGGAGTACAAACTACAATGTTTCCCTCTAAAACAGAGAGGAGGAGGAGGAATATGAAGTACCATGGAATGAATAATGCTCCAGTACACAAGAGTACCTCAGATATGTACTTCAGTGCAGCACTTGATTAAATGTAATAATTCCATCACTGAAATTCAGACATGCTACAAAGACAAAAATGTGTTTATCCTGGCTTACCCAACTACAGATACACAGACACTCTGTACCACACAGCAAACACACTCCCAGCTATAACCACACACGCTTCTCCGACACAATGCCTGCTCCATAGAGCACCAGCAGAGATGCTGAGATACTGCATGTGCTGACTTTGTGATACAAGTGGGAAGATACAAAGCGCTTGTTCAGAGAAAGAGGATGAGAACAGGGAAGATGAAGGCGGCGTTTGTTTGCGTGCGAGGCGAAGCAGAAGTGGAAGTCACAGCAGTGCAGAGAGCCGGAGTGAGGCTGTAAAATACTGTGTTGGCAGAACTACTGACCCCAATACTGCACTCAAATCTTAGAGGAGGAGAAAAAAAACCTCTCAAAAGCCTTCTTCTCCTGGAGAGACAGATCACCCCAGGCTACACATGCAACTGCACATGAACACAGATGTATAGGCTCAGTGCAAGCACATACCTCCACACATGCTTTCAACTTATACCTACACACTTTCATGCCGTACACGCTCATGCACATTTCACTCTTATCCTGAGGCCCGGCATCGGATAACTTCCGACCCTCTTTAGTCCCAAAAGAAGTGTCTCCTCTCTCTTCTCCCCGTGCCTCCTGTTTGACAGGCCTAGACAGAGAAAAATAGACGTTTCTGCTTCGCCAGCACAGCAAAGACTTTGTAAAGTCAACCTTTTGTTTAGCGGCAAACATCCTGAATAACAAGAAGTTTCAGGTAATTTGATCAGTCTGCTCTATTTTTTTTTTCTTCTTTTCCATTAGGCTGTCTATGTGTGGGTGCATGATTTCCTCCAATACATGCATTTATGCTTGTTTATCCGTCTGCCATTCAAATTAGGTGCATGCGAATGTGGTTTGTGGGTTTGTGCGTCAGAAAATGTGTATTCTTCTTCTGTATCAATGTGTGTGTGTGCAGGTACATTATTCAAATGCAGTGGGTTTCGTTTGCTATCCTGAAACTTATCTCCAGTCAGCGGCTCAGGCTGCACACAGAGGAACAGTCTATAATTAGGGGTCAATTAGGGTCAACTGGATCGATATTGCCGGAGCAGGAGAGTCTTCGGCAGGGTGTATAATGCCTTATCTGTCCGCCACAGAGGCTGTTGGTTTAGGTAATGATGTATGTGTTTACACAGTGTATTAGAATGCAGTTAATCTCATCCTCTCTGTATAAATGACACAACAGGATGACAGACCCAAATACGGGGTTTCTGCACAGGTCCCAGGAGTGCGAGCAAAGTTTGGGGAGTGAATCTGATCCGCAGGTCTTCAATTAACGCTTCCCTCTCACTCCTGTCATCTGTGTTTGTGTGTTGGTGGTGAAGGACAGATCCTCCTACCCTGGATGCGTTCATCATGGACAAAGCCCTGCTGGACTTTGAGGTGTCCATCGACGCAGAGTGCAAGCTGCTCACTGTGGGGAAGCCGTTCGCCATTGAAGGTAGGCACAGGCTCACACACACAAAGGCACACTTGTGAGTTTTGTAAGGACATCGTGTTGACCTAGAGGCATTCTCTCATTCCCTGGTGGCATTTTCAAACTGACTCGGTTTCTTTGGCATTTTCTTGATCTTATAACATTAGTTTTTGTGGTTTTTACATTTCATGTTCTTGTTTTTATAGACTCTTTATTCCCTCTTTTTCTTTTTCCTCTTTGTAAAGCACTTTCCCAGACTCTTAAAATGTGCCATACAAATCAAGTTTACTTTACCTCAACCTTTATACAAACCTTAACCTAATAATAGTTGAATTCCTTACTCTCAAAATTGATTCTTAAGGGTCTAGTGTGTAGGATTTAGTAGCATCTAGTGGTGAGGTTGCAGATTGCAGCCAACTGAAACTTCTCCCATGTACCAAGTGTAAAGAAGAACTACAGTGGCCGACATGAAAACGTGAATGATCCTATCTAAAGATTTGTCCGTTCTGGGCTATTGTACAACAACATGGCAGAGTTGAATGGATGGGGCCTGTTCTGTATGTAGATATAAACAGCTCATTCTAAGGTATCAAAAACAATGATTCTTAGAGGGATGTACTGATTTGTCGGCCGCACTTTGGTATCAGCCGATATTATTATGACACTGGAAAAAAAATTTGCATGCTGTATGTTGAATCTGCCCTTTAGTTTAGTTATTTTCTAATGGGAGTCTTTTCACACATACCTCCATTAACAAAATGGTTTAAAGTTTCAATTACAGCAATTAAATGTTGGTGCAACCACCACTAACCCTTCTGTTTTCATTCCTTTAAGGGTAATTCAAACTGATAGTAATATAAATTCAGTAATACCCTGATCTACGAAAATCTCATACCGTTGAAACCCCAGCTGGTAGCAGCTGGTGGCCAGAACTAACTGCAGATGGAGGTTGCATAGAGTTACATTATGATGCATTCAAGTGTTTTAAAGTAAACATGAGTATTGGGAAAAGGTAAATTATGCCGATCTCATAATGTGTACAATTTTATCTTGTGAAATGTAGTTCTGGGCAAGAAACTTGATTAAATACAGCTGTTTGAAGGAGAAACTTGTTGATTATTTTACAGCAATATAAAATAGATATGAGAGAGGAAATTATGAGATACTACAGAAACTTAAAAGGCTTTTAAAGCAGTTTTTTTTTTTAAATTCCTCGAAAAGGTCATTTTGTAAACACGTTTACTGATTTTAAACATTTAAGAAGTTACACAAAACATATACAAACCTCCCAAAGTTAGAATTTATGGCATTATATAAAAACAAATAATAGTAATAAACAATATTAAAATAGTAATTATAATAACTAGTCCATACCCATTGGTAGCTTTGTCACCTTCTACCTATGCCAATCCTCAAAGCCTATGTGCAGTTTCACATAGATTGACCACGTCAGTGAGTAGAAAAACGTGGGACAGACAGAATGACACACTGACAGTTTCCGTGATTATGTACAGCATACCATACCATGACTTAGTCATACCAAAAATTAGAAAAAAACTGCAACATTGGGCCACAGGGGGAGCCACAGCGATCGGTCGCATTTTAGTCATTTTGAAGCATTTTTCTGTTGTTATAGCGCCACCCAGTTGCCAATTAGAGTTAAATTTCTCCAGTCACCTTGAGGCGTCCTGTTCTACATATCTACCAAGTTTAGTAAAAATCGATATGGCGGTTAGGCCTAGATAAGAAATTAGCTCTCTAGCGCCCCCATTTTGTTTGATGGGGTCAATAATGGAGGGGTCCCCTCAGATTATGTGTGGTCATATGCCTACAAAGTTGCGTGGTGATGGGTGAAACCCTTGAGATGTTATACACCTTTATGTGATGAGCCACGCCCTCCGCAATATTCATTGCCTTATAGAAGCTCAGTTTTAGTAAGTTTTCCAACTTTTGCCAAGAGGGAACTTTAGATATTGGTCCCTAGATTATGTTCACCCAGTTTCATGCAGATCGCTCAAACTTCCTAGGAAGAGATCCATTTGAAGTGTTTTTCAAAAAATTCAAAATGGCGGAAAATCTATATAACCGGAAGTTATGGGTTCTTGAGGCAAATTTGTTCCTCATGAGGAGAGGCATCTCTGTGCAAAGTTTCATGTCTCTACGACATACGGGGCATGAGATATGCCCATTCAAAGTTTGCAATTTCAATCGGTTGCTATAGCGCCCCCCTTTGGCCAATTGATGTAATATTGCTTCATTCGCATCCTCCCATGACCCTCTACCACTGTGCCAAATTTCACATGGATTGACCAAGTCAGTGAGGAGAAAAATGTGGAACAGACACACAGACAGACAGAGTTTTCGTCATTATATAGTAAGATAATCGTACAAAAAAATATATATATATTTATAATAATGCAGTAAAAGAAGGTTATTTTAAAACATGTGTCACAAAGGTGTGTGATTAAATTTGTGCTTATTGGAAGGGAGTATAATGAAGGACATAGTTCAGTTACTTTTTATAATAAATATTTTTGTTTCCATACCACAAAGAGTTGAAAAAACCCCAACAAAACTAAAAAATAAAATATAGAAAAATAATAATTAAAAAAACATCAGTATTCACTATTGGCCAAATTGTTATTTCAAGCATTGGTATTGACATCGGCCCTGAACTCCCTAGACTCTTAGTTTCAGGTGATTATAAACTAATAAAAACATGGTTATAAATATTATATTCCATGTCTACCAATGTATCCCCTTAACTCTGGGACACTGGAACTTTAAAATCCTAAAATAACTGACCTTGTGGGGACCTGCTGTTTGTCCCCAAATGGCAGGTGGGTCCCCACAAGGCATTTAACACAGACATGCACATTAACAAAAAGCAGCTCACACACATACACACTTGCACTCACATACATGTAGATATACTGTGCCCGTGCACACATGACGTACTGTATAAGAGCGCCCTCTTTCATGCAACATTCATGCAACACAGACGAACATTAACACAGACAAACATACAGTATATACAACCACATACTGTGTATAAAGAAACCTATAGTATGCACACAAAGGAGATCAAATACTGTTAGCTACATGACTGACAGAATAACACAGTGATTCACTGGGTGAACTTATAACGCTGCAGGATGAAAGTACTCCGCCATCTATTATTAACTACAGTGTCCAGTCAGGAAGCTCTGGACTCGACGCTTACAGGTCCCATTAACTGCAGCACAGTCATGAAGCATATAGACAAATGAGCTGCCAGTCAAAAACCAGCTAATGATCCACGAAGGGAGTTATCATATTCAAGTTCACATGAATCAAGTTTTTTTTTTTCTTATGACTACATGGTGAGACTGGTGGAACGAGCTGGCTCATGCAGGTGTAAGTGTGTGAGAGTGCTGATGGTTGCATCCTGGTGTGCTCAATGTGTGTGTGTATTCTTGAGGGAAATTGTTTTCCATTTTGACTTTCAGAGGGAGGACGTTTTTCCAAAGTAAACTCATTGCTGCTGCTTCTATCTGAAAAAATCACCATATGAACCATGGCAGGCAGAGGGAAAAAAGAAACGCCGCAGAATAGAGCCTGGAAATATTTTACACTGCTGTCATGTTTTCATGTTTAAACGAGAATTTTCCACTGTTTTCCTTGTTCTCATTCTCCTACTTCTACACCAGGGGTTCTCAAACTCTTTTAAATAATGTAACCGTTCTGAAATAGTTTTTTCAGCCAAGTATCCTCTGACCAGCGCAAAACAGTTTTGATGGAAACACACAGTGAACAGACAAACTTAAAGCTGGCAGTCACATTGAAAATAGGAATACTGAATACAGAATTTGGTTAATGGAGCTTAAATTTATTTTTTTTTTAATTTAACTTTTACTACAGTTATTTTAGTCAAGGCATGACTGATGTTTTTTAAAGTAACATTTTTTAAAAACCCCATATACCCCCTGCAGTTCTTCATTGTACCTCTATGGGTACCCCTGTTTGGGAAGCACTGTTCTACACCTACACGTCTTGTGTACCATCCAAACTTAAACTACTTGAAAAGTGTGCATTCCTCCTACATTATTTATAGCCTAGCCCAGGCCTATTCAGTTAGCGGCTGCGGGCTACATTCGGCTCAGAAGTAACCAAAGGATGGCCCTGCATACGTAAATCTGATATGTGGGTTTGACATACGTTCTGCTGCCTTCTCATCCTTGTTGAGTTACACACATGGACAGTACTGATCCAGCAGGATCAGATCAGTACAGCAGTGTTTTCTCATGTGACATGGTTCCGACCACACGTAGTAGCTTTTCAAAACATCTGGGCTGTGGTTCAGTAGTTTAAAAAAGTGTATTTTTCTAAACACATTGCCTTGACCTTGATGGACAACATAATGAGCTGTGTGTGTATGTATACATACAGTACAGGCCAAAAGTTTGGACACACCTTCTCATTCAATGCGTTTTCTTTATTTTCATGACTATTTACATTGTAGATTCTCACTGAAGGCATCAAAACTATGAATGAACACATGTGGAGTTATGTACTTAACAAAACAAGGTGAAATAACTGAAAACATGTTTTATATTCTAGTTTCTTCAAAATAGCCACCCTTTGCTCTGATTACTGCTTTGCACACTCTTGGCATTCTCTCCATGAGCTTCAAGAGGTAGTCACCTGAAATGGTTTTCCAACAGTCTTGAAGGAGTTCCCAGAGGTGTTTAGCACTTGTTGGCCCCTTTGCCTTCACTCTGCGGTCCAGCTCACCCCAAACCATCTCGATTGGGTTCAGGTCCGGTGACTGTGGAGGCCAGGTCATCTGCCGCAGCACTCCATCACTCTCCTTCTTGGTCAAATAGCCCTTACACAGCCTGGAGGTGTGTTTGGGGTCATTGTCCTGTTGAAAAATAAATGATCGTCCAACTAAACGCAAACCGGATGGGATGGCATGTCGCTGCAGGATGCTGTGGTAGCCATGCTGGTTCAGTGTGCCTTCAATTTTGAATAAATCCCCAACA